TGTTGCGAATGCCTCCAGAAAGGAAGGCTAAGCAACTGTTTCTTGCAAATCCGACCGGCAAAAGGCCCAGCGGACAGCCAAGGAAAACCTGGTGCAAATATATGGAAGGTGTCTGTTCCATACTCCAGTTGTTTTCTACCGAAGCTGAATTTGTGGTAGGGGATTGGGAATGTTGGAAACAATGTCTGGCGCGTCTGCCTCCGCGACCAGAAAGGAGAGGCAGCCATGGAAGATGGAGATGAAGAAGAAGATCCCATTGGTTGCTAGGTTCATATGGTTTGGTATTGCGCAACATTTTAGATCTTCAACGTCATTGAACACAGTGTCTGATGGAGTACAGTTTTAAAGCCGATGAAAATACCGAGGCAGCTAACACAGTCGTGTTTCGCAGTGTTACACCAAAAGAGACTGCCAAGCTTACTTCTTTATAAGTTTCTGACAGAACCTCATTTGCCGTTCTGTTTTCAAATTTGTTACTGGCTTTCCGATGCGGTTTAGCTTTTGTGACGAATATACTCAGTTGTTACTGACTTATCAGTTCGCACTCGGCTTGTTACCTGTAACTTGACATGAAGAGCAGGTCTGGCTTATAATGGCACATAATATGGATTTTTGGACTCTGTTTATGCACGATATTCCATATCTACTGCAGTCACTTTAACGTAGCGCATATTTTTGTATGGCACGTTTATAAGTTAGAAAAGTGTGGGAAAGGCCTGGTTTCATATGAATGACTGATATAAAATATCTACAGTTGTTGCTCACGCGTTGCTCTGATCATTTGTAGCTCATGAGCTTTGGTTCAAGTTAAATAGAAGGTCTTCTGGTGCGCTTTTGAATGACCTGATATATGTCGTTCATGTGTCTGGCTCTTTTGGCGCCGAACACAGACTATTAATGGTCAGCCGCTGGTTGACCAACGGAGACACGTTTCTTTGTATGTAACGGGAGATGTTAAATTAGCAAAATTAGTATTGCAACTTGATCCGGCTCTAAGCGACATGATATCTGCGCGATTTGAGGATGACCATTGTACCTGTCAACCACTGAATCGCTACCAGCTGTTACTTTAACCACATGCTTATTTACGATGAAGGGTTGTTGCACTGGCTAAGCAAGCCCAAAGCTGCCGCGTGTGTTGTGGACTGGGCAACGGTCAAAGTGTGGGATAATATTTCAGGTTAAAGTACGACCGAGTATATTATCCGGAAGTGATGGAACTTGTGGTGGAAAAATTTAAATTCCGTCCCATGCTTTAACTATGCATTTATTGCTTTGACAAGGCTTACTAGTATCGGCAAGAAGCCGTATGTAAAGCTGTTAGCTGACTTTGAGTCAGTAGTACGAAAGTAGCATCGTATCGTGCCATGACGGAGGAACATGGAGCTGCATCAACCTCGCTAAGGAATCGCTGTCAAGAACCGGGCAAAGATTAATAACAACGCGTTTCGTTCGTGAATTATTGCTGGCAGAAAAAGGCAGATGATGAGTTCTATTAGTTTCTGTTCAGGAACTTCCAACGTAGTTCTGGGTATTCTACACTGCTCCGGTGTTTAACCCTACCAATGGAGCTGATCCCTAAAAGAGCTAATCAGAAGCCATTTGCTAATAATCTAGTGGTGTTCTAGTGTCCTGCGTTTCAGTGTTCGAAGCATGCGTTAAACAGACCTCTGCATGCAAATGATTTGTTCAAAGTGTGAAATGACGAGTTGTCAACTAAGATTCATGTTGGAGGATGGCGTTTGTTGAGAACGTATGTGGCGAGGGAAGTGAAGCTTAATTCATGATTTATTTGAGCATGGCGTCAAAACGTTAAGTTGCACAAAAAGCCGAAACCGGTCGTCGAAGAACCGAAGCAGATTGTGGTGAAAGCGGTTGATGGTAACGCCAAAATAAATATGATAGGCGATTCCGGTATGCTGAGAAACATCGAAGTGATCGTCAAAGAACAGCCTGCACATGAAGATGTGTCTAACCAGGTCATACATTGTTTTCTGTGAAATGATTGTACATATTTTTTGAACCTGACAATCGCGTTTTACCGAAATTGCGTCTCAGCGAATAAAGTTTTGCCGTCGCAGTTGTAGCGATGTGCAACTGTATTTTTACTGTGTTACTGTATGTTTTGCTTGTTGTACCAACCGGAAAAAAATGCACACGTGTAAGAATATATTTTGTTCGTTGTTTGTAGATGTACTGGTAAGCAGCAGAGAAACGGCGATCTTTATCGCTTACTAGTGGCACGTTCAAAGGGACATCTCACTAAATCAAGCCTTACTGCGTAAACAGCTTCAAGATTGTACGATATGCAACACACGGAAGAAATGTTTCCCTTTCCAACATCCTTGCATTGACATTTTGCAATATTTATCAACCAATCTAACCAGTAGTTAGATTACAGTATTCTTTAGCATCTTTGTCATTGTCTGCGACTTTCTTCAGATTCATTGTTGAGTTTGCAATGAATTATACGTATCTGAAGAATTTTGCTAAATGCACGGATAGGACCATGATCGACGTCTGTCCGCGATATAACAACAAATGAAGATTCAGCTCGATGCTAGTCATATTACCCCTCCCCGACCTTTTCCCACAAACGAGCTCTCGCTGTGGCCTCTGCTTGCGCAGTTACACTGTTTGCTTCGTGCCGCATTCCAGTTTAGGGTCCTTTGCTTCAAATCCTTTTAAATACAGCCGTCTCGTTGACAGTGGGCTCTCTTGACCATGAACAACCTCGTTTCCGACTCTCAGGCTATAGGCTAACCGACTTTAAATCGTAGTTTTAGACGGGAGTCCCTGTTACGCCGCTTTTGAGAAGTTTATATTCGATTTCCAATTCAGTCGTTATCACTTGGATCTGTTCAAACCGTTGTGCAATGCTGTCTGCAAATTTCGCCCTCAAGCCCGTAAGAGATAATGTTTCCAATCTGATTTACTGATTGCTTTTGCTATCATATCTGCATGGCATTCCGTTTCTCAAGGCTTAACATGCCAACAAGGTGGTGACCAACTGACAGCTCTGTGCTATTTTTAACGCAAACATCCGTTACAGAGCATCGTAAATCAGACGATCCGATTATCAAGTAAATATTCGACTTCTGTGCGCAAGTTTCGCCATACGTGGTATATTGATGCATGAAGAAGATATCCATAAAAGTAGTGGATATAGCCTGTTAGTTGCACAAACCTAGAACAATTTCATGGCGCGCTGATATCGCTAGGGCCAATCTTTCCAGCAAGGCCTTTCAACTTTTCAGTGCCTGCTCTGACGCGGATTGAAATCGTCGGTTACACTGATGAGACTCCGCCATCGACAGTTCGTACAGAGCAGGTTTTATTTCTTCTGAGAAGAACTCACGTTTTCCCTCTGAACGAACTCAGACGTGTAACAAGATCAGAGCTTTAGCCCTTTGAAAATTCAGGCGTGTGATTGCTACTCGTGTGGTTACAGGCTTTCATTCAAAAACTGTCAGCCAGGCTTGGTTCTGCCTGAACACCTAAGAGAACCGCTTTCCTCCACAGGGGTTTAGAATTGCGGATTTTTTGTTGACGATTGTCAGACTACGTCTAGTCGTTTCCTTGCGGTCTTGTTAACTAGCTGTTGCTCTTTCCCTCTGACTGAGGAGATGTTCCAGTTTCTCCCTATGAGCTCCCACTGCCGGTATCGTTTCCAACGATCTTTGTGTCATGTGTAGTCACGTCGTTCTGAACGGGCAGGTGCTCCGTTGCTAACTGGTATCTTCATCGTCTTCGTGAGCATTTTCGGTAGAGTGTCGGGTGGCGTATAGCAGCTTCTGATCTTGGACGTTTAGCAGTCTGCTTCCTTTTCCCAGCGCTCTATATGGCCGTTTGTAAACCGGGCGACGACTGAGCCGGTATAAAATTGCACAGCTTAGACCTTACCGCGAAACTCAACCCTCTCCCTTTTTCACCCGCGTTATGGGCAGACAAGGGTAGAGTTGCGTTATTTGTTCCGTTATATATTTGTTTACGGATTGTGGCAAGTTTGATTGATGTTCGAGACACCGTTGTTCGATTCAACTCAACTTCTATCCAAGGAGAGGCAGTCTTCCATCCGATGCTTGGCGTTCACTTAAATGCCAAGGATATGTGCTTCCTTAAATTGTCCGCCTAGAAACAAGAACTCTGTAACATTTGCGCCATTTATATCCAGTATTAGGATCTGAATTCTTATAGTTACCGGGAAAATTGCAAGGGTGCCATTTTTTGTAGCTACTCTAGAACATCAGAAATCTTTAAGTTCATATACTGTGAATAGTTCATACTTTCTCAGGCGGATGTTCTCGTTAAAATTACAAATTATGAAGATGTGGCTCATCTGTTAAAGAAATTTGTTTCAACATGAGTCTTAACTTCAACCCATTAATTCTCCCATTAATGTGAGAGACATCGGCCAGTAGGTTAGTGCTCAGCATAGAGGAACACGGGTGATAAGGATTGTAGAAAATAGATATTTCTACCGCCTCTGCCTCACCACGAATGGTTTGAAAAGTTGAAACTTCAGCCGAAATCACAAGCAAGTAATTCTGTTAGTGTAGAAAGTAAATGCAATAAACAAACATATTTAGCACTTTTATCATTTCACTTTATTTTTCAATTTTCAGATCGCGCTTCTTGTCGACCAATGTGAGACGGTCACATCCAGCATCCATTATGTCACGTGATGCGGATATATGGAGCAGACCAGTCTCATATTTCATGGTCCATTGCATAACCAGGCCAAGTATCCTACTGATTTTGGTAGGGTGCATGTCAGTATTATTTAGTCTGAACTGGCTGAAAGGAGTTCTGTGGAGTAAGTGCGATGCTCCATCAGCGTCATAACAATTTGAGGGCAATTTGGCCTTCAAAGTTCAGTGTCCGTCACATCGTGGAAAGCGGGTGTGAGATGGCGGCTGAGCCCTAACTACTGTATTCTACTGTAATGAACTGTATTCTACTAAACTTGTACGGTCGCCTCTGAAGAATGGCACGAATCAAGAAACAGTCTGTTGGCCGATCCCAGACGATGAACTTTGACGGTCGTTTCCTTGCTGACTGTCTGTTTCAGTTTGATTTTCCATGGTACTGTAACCACACTTGCATCACGTAGTATGCGCTTGTGGCCAAACAACATCATGACCTATCACTATAGAACTGATGCCTCCAAGTGCATCAACGGCGTGCAGGAATCGTCAGCGAAATCGAATATCTTTCAAGAACGAGAGAACCACTTACAGAAGTTCCGTTCACTTATAGAATATTTTCACATATTAAAAAAGTAGGTTCGTCTCCTTTGATTTTTAGGTCAATTAAACTTACCTGATTGATCTTGTTGGTGACCATTCATTGTTGGAGGTAAGACCCGACGCCTGACACTGCTTCGACGCTATCAGTCAGCAATGGCTTGTTTACGAAAACGATGTACGTAGCTATGTGGTAAGCAGGATCTGTGGTCTTGAGGTTTCCTCCCATTAAGTAGTACTCATTTATTCACCTCTGTCAGATAACAGGTTAGCAGCCGGAACGTGTTTCAAAGTCACAGTTCTTCGACTGTGTGTGCAACGCCGTATCAGTTGTTCAGCCCGACCTGTCGTGCAAATTACTCATTAACAACATTGCAGAGCTGCTTGTTCTGTAGTGAGACTCAGTGACCTTCGCCGATCCAATCGTCTATAAGAACATATTTGGCTGCGTGTAAGTTATTACTGTACGCGTCGGCTACTGTCTTTTCTGCACTTCTTGGATGCGAGTCTGAAGCTCTGAAGCCGTCCTTGTGACTGCTTTCCAGAATTAGTGACCTGCCTTTAACCGGCTTAACTCAGTATGTTGTATTTATTAATGCCATGGGGGAAGTGTCTTCTTTTTGCATTCAGA